TAGGATCTTTTATCATCTTACCATTAAAATTTTTACTAAAATTCATTGTAGAGAATTATGACCTTAATTTCACTTTACACAAGCCCTTCTCCTATTATTCTCTTACGTTTTTTGGAAGTTAGGATAGCCCCAAAAAATAATACAATTTGGTTGAAGTGTTCTTAATGAAATAGCTGCCGATGTTAGAAACTTACTTTTCAGGGCTCCCCTCCAAAAACCCTGAGAGGAGGGCTCCTTGCTCTGCATCCAACTTTCATAATTAATGACCGTACTTCAAAATATTACAAGGCTATAACAACAAAGCAGAGACAATAGACAGTGAAGAAGGCAAAATTCAGTCGGGCTCAGGTATTGGCAATAGGTTTTTTGCAACCATTCAGAAGCTAGGCAAGGACCATCCAGAGGAGGAAGCAAGCAAAAGCTCACACAGATGAAATCACAAAAGCGACAAGCCTAACCCCACATCCCGAATAAAGGACACCAATCAGAATAAGAAAAAACACCACTAGTGGTTGCCAACAAGCTACATGGTGAGCAAAAAGTTGCCTCATCATTTCTCGGGCTAATACATCCACAAAGGAAACCACAATCAATGTAATCCAACAAAAGCCAACCACATCCGCAAAACCCAAACACCAACCAATCAACATAAAGACAAAGAGGAACCAACAACTCGAAAGGACCCCCAACAAAAGCAATTACTTCCATGAAAGAAGGCATTCTCTATAAGTGCTTCACATTCAAATTAAACATAGCATTAAACTCCTCCTCAGCCCCCTTCAGTTCATCCCCCTCACCCACAACCTTCTTTTTAGCTTTTCCTTTGCTTTAATTTTGTAATAGGTAGAACTATGAGCTCCTAAGTTTTATTTCAAATGTTGTATTTTTAATGAGCCTTTGGTTCTTTAAGGACTTGTATTTTTCACCTTAATTAACACGTAGGCCTCTTTGTACACACACGCACACACATACACATACACACATATATATACTAATTTATATTTATTTATTTATTTTTTCAGTTTCAATTCAAGTACATGTCTGATAGGTATATATAACTAGATTAGAATAGCTTGCAGAAGTCATATCAATCAAATTAATAACACATCATAGATAATCTTCAATAAAGATTAAGCTCTATTGCATATCTCTAACACTGCTGCAATATATTAGTATAAGAGATGAACATCAATGTGTCGTCATTGTTGGAGAATGTAAGCAACCTAATAATACTATCAACTTGAGACGATTTAACACTAGGCATAGAGGCAAATCAAACTTTTATATTTACACGCATTTACAATAGTTTTGCAAAATGCTTGATCTTAAAAGCCAATTAATTACAAGTATTTACTATTTTAGGCTCCGTTTGGGATAGTTTTCTTACTTCTTTGTTTTTCAGATTGCAAACGTGATTTTTGTTTGACCATTGTTTTCTCAAGCTTTCAAAAATATTTTTTCATGCTTCCGACATCAACTTTAAAGTTACTTTCTTTACAATAGCTTTACAAATTAGTAAGAAAATAATCCTAAATGAAGTTTTAGGTTTCGTTTGGGATGACTTTCTTATTGCTTCTTAAAGCAGCTTCTTAGAAGCTGCTTAGAAGCTGATTTAAGAAGGTGAAAGAAAGCCGTCCCAAACGAAGCCTTAGTTGATAAAATCATGGCATCTCCAACCGAGCGCCAAATGAGCGTTTGTAGTCACCGTGAGCTCCAACTGAACGCCAGATTCAACGTCACGCCATTTTTCGCCATTTTACTTTTGGTTCGAGAAAGAATATACTTGGTATATTCTTTTTTTGCTGTTATGAAATGGAATTTGGTTGGAAATGAATTACTGCATTTTGAAGTATAAAAAGAATTTTGCGGTTGAAGATTGTGAAAAAGTTGTTTCAATTATTTTGAATTCAAATCTTATTTATATCAAATTTATGTGTTCGACTCACCTTTCCAACATAAACCAATCAATCTTCTTGTCATTAATCCACATTTTCAAATAGTATTATTCTTATTATTTTTTTCAATAAGCTGTTTATAGACAAAGTTAAACTTCAACATGGTTAATATTAATATATATTTCGGGCAATAAACTTCAAATCTCACCCAATGCGGACATCACCTTATACCTTATTTGTGTATTCAAGGTTGACGCTGCGCTTACATCACAACCATTAAATTCTCATTAGCAAGTTGGGCACCGGCTTAATTAGTGCAGATTAAACCACTCGAATCATCTATGTTAAAATATGGAGCTCTAATTACCACATCTTCGTTGTTTGATTAATTTATGAAAGATTTGGGGATTGTGGAGCATTTATTGATTTCTTATGATGATGATATGGACGGGCTTGAATATTCTTTTTTTATCATATGGCTTAGAGAGATTGGAACTGAATAGGCTGATCAACCAACTTGCAGCTTCATGAAATTCAATTGGCAAGCTTATAATGATTAACAAGGAAACAACCAAAAAAAATGGCAACTTGGTCCAAATGATCATCTTTTTCTGAATGACATAGGATTCTATTACTAAAATATGTTTAATTATCATTATTCAATTGTCCTCATTAGATTTCAACTATTTTCAAGTGATCTGGAACAAATGAAATAAAGAGGTTTTATTCCCATTAATCCTCTGATTTATTGCATTTGTTAAACTGTGAATGTTTCAGAAAGATGTGGGAGAAAGAAGAGTATTTGAAGCATTCAGTTTTGTGTTCTTCCATTAACAGCACACGATCTCATCACGCCTATTATAATCTGGAAAAATAATAGCAAAGCTGAGAGAGAGTGGGAGAGAGGAGAAGAAGAAGCAATGGAGCAGAAGATTGGAGTAGTTTTCTTCATTTCTGCTGCATGCAGTCCTTTAATAATGTCTGCCATGAACTTCCCGCATCATTCTCCTCTATTAAAGTATTCACTTTGCTACTTAGGTATCCATGGGCGGATCCACCTTAAGTCAAGAAGGGGCAATTGATCCCCCCTGAAAAAATAAAAAAATTATTTATTATATGATTCTTTAGGTAATTTGTTCCTCTCAATGTATTTTTAGTCTTTATTACAAGAGTTTTTAGGCAATTGTCCTCCCGAAAAATTTTAAAATACTATGATCTTTAGGCAATTGCCCCAACATAATTAAATACATTGTGTAGAGATGTTATTGTTAGGAAATGATGAATCAAATACAAAGAGAAATAGTAAAATGAATCCAAAAATATCCCTACAACCAAAATTTGTTCCGGGGGTCTTGCCCCTTGATCCCGCGACCTGGCCGGGCAGGTCGAACCCGCCATATCTGAAATAAATAGTGGTCGAGAGGTAGCGCCTTCAGAACAAATTTTAGTTATATGGATATTTATGAAAAAAAATTCTACACTTTTACTTATAAATTTGTCCTCTAAAAATTAAGGATGGATCCGCCCCTGTACATATCGTCAGCCGTGGTTTAAAAGAACCATGTAGTATAGATGAAGCTAGTTAATCTTCTGAATCAGTTAATCCAACACTGAAAAGTTTGGTAAATCTGTTGTTGCTTCTTATAATGTTGAATAAAAATATAGTGCAGTAAATCATTGTCAGACAAGTTCGAACAGAGCAGATGCGATCTGAAAATAATGGTGGAACAATTAAATTTTGTGTAAGGTCATGCGCTACTTGACTCAATTATACACATTGTTAATACACTAAATAGTTCTGCATTATATTTCATTAATTGCATTTGTTTCTAATTGCGTCGGCAAGGCTCAGTTCCTAATATACTGCATTAATTGAGAACTGCTGTACCATTCACATATGAACATGTACAGGCTTGCAAAGAAAAAAAAAACCTACATTTTGCTTCTTTTTTTTTTCCAATGATGTAAATAAAAACAATATCGTTTAAAAAATGCTTATTGTAATGTATGATTTGATCTTAGACATCCAAATGAACTATATTTTTAGAATATTTTATATGATAAAAACTTATGGTGTTTGAGAAAAAAAATTTGTCTTAGCAACGTATGAAGATTCAATTCACATATAGATAAAAGAAAAAAATGTATGAGACACCAGAGTTCTTATATAAATAATTCATTATAGAACAAAAATTCACGGGGCGGCTAACTTAGGCTCGTTTGGGACAACTTTTTTATTGCTTCTCGAAGTAACTTTTTAGTATAAATTTTTTTTTTGGTACTAGAAAGCTGTTTTAAAAAGCAACAAAAAAACTTATCAAAACAAAGTCTTAGAAGCTACAATGTACTTGAAGTTAAAGAAATCCCTTTTTTCTGATAACCAGAGAAGTCAGAATTTTAAAGTTTAGAGCACTTGTTTGATCTTTTATAATTATTCCGACAACATTAGTTGTGCGGTGTTTTGAAGACAATAGTTAGTAATGTTCTAACAACAATGGTTGGGCAGTGGTATTGGAGCTTTGAGATTTTTGAAGCATTTAGGCTTTCTCGAATCACAAGCTAAGTCAGTCTGGCAATGGAGGCCGGCCAACAACAATGATGGTAGGAGGTGAACGTTGGCATCAAACATTAGATGAAGCTCTCGAGTTATTCAAAGCTTCGAGTTGTCGGCAAGCTTATATCCGAGCCTTCTTCATGTGGAGAATGATGATTTAGTTATAATTTCTTGTGAGTAGCATTTCCGTTAATTGAGCCAAAATCTCGTAACACTATATCAGACCACCCATATTAAAACCTTTTATCATAGACCTTTTATTAAGTATTTATTTGCCTTAAAACCTTAGAGTAGAGTGATTCTGGACTCGTTGGATTCATCTTATTAAACCTATCAATTTGATTATGAGCATACAATATTTGGAGATTATTTATTCTTTCAATTAATGTCCCAAAATTTTAAATTATAAGTGTTTGATTTGATCTAATGTGGACTTAGAACAAACCGCTTTTGACGTCATTGGATTCATCTTATTAAGACATTCAGTTCTACTAAAAGTTTGCTGAAGTCAAAGTTCACATGATCAATAATTTAATTTCGAGAAATTTCAATTTAAAATAATGCATTGAGATTCATACCGATCTAAGTAAAACTTTTGCATACATATCAAATACAAATAATTGTAAATCACTCATTAATTAATTACCATGCATGGTAATTAGGAAGGAGCATAAATTCTTCCTATTAATTAGCTTTCCATTTTTTTTCTCATCCTATTGTACATCTATGATCAACTGAACGTGCGCTTTAATTTATGTGCACTTGATGAAGATCTTGATCAAAACTAAGAAGGTTACATGACCAATATTTAACTAATCCTGCTTCTTGCTCTGCCAATCTGGTCTTCCAAGTGTGAACTCCAAGCTTGGGTTTATACTTTCTTTAACTGCCTTTGGTGAAACACTGGGTGATGAAAGGTCATTAACCTGCAAAAGAAATAAAAATTGGCAAAGTCATATTTCAGTATTAATGTTAATTAAATTTCTTAATTGTGATTAAAGCCAGACATATTTATTTTTAATATTATAATTAATTCTTTTAATAAAGCTATGCCTATTGTTTGAATAACTAAAATTTTAATAAATTTTTATAAAATTTCCCAAAATATCACCACATCAATGGAGGATGTTCATTCATGTAGTTACTATTTGAACAGAAAGTTCAGAATAAGAGGAATACCTCAACCTTAGCTGATAAGTTTTCTGATCTATTCTCATCAATCTCGTTTGGAATTGAATGCAACCAAATTCCCCTGCTGAATATCAAAAGAACATAAGAAAAAAAGTAAAGAACTCTGCTTATAATGAACAACTCTGCTTAAACAATCCTTAATCAAGCTGAATACAAGTAAAGAACTCTGCTTATAATGAAGAGTAAGCTGTGTCTTGCTGCACTTTTATTTGAAATGCTTAATTTCGTGGCTGAGCTAGTGAGCTGAAACATGTCTTCTATTTACTTGGCTTAAAAAAAAAAGTTCCAAAACATTCAATCTTTTTTAATAGATCATTCAAGCTGTGTGGTTTGAATCCATTTTCCTGTTGAAATAAAGACGAGAACAGATAAGGTACCACAAACTCAGATTCACAAAAAAACAAAAAAAAGATTACACATTTCTGCTTCATTACCGTATCAAGTTGGATAGCCTCTAGGATAGAATATACAAAGAGATTGTTTGGAGGCCTTATATTGCTATAGACTATGGATAGTACAGAAACTCTCAGAGAAAATAGGAGAATTCACTCCATTTGCCAAGTTCCAACAATGCTACGAGTGTCAGGGTGATCAACATTGAGTATAAGACTTTAAGGGAGGCCTCGTATTGCTTCATATTATCAAGGAGAGATTGAAGATATAAGGATAAAAAATCAAGCTTCTAAAGATAAATAGGGTCAATAAATAATAATTGGCTCTGCTTATGTGCATGAATATCTACTCTACAGTGAATGTGGAAAATTTAGGAGTGGTTTGGTTGTCTTAAAAATGAATGCACTGTAAAAAAAATTCAGTGTAAAAGAAATGCAAAGTGAAATGAATATTTTGAGATTATTTGAATGAGTGTAAAACGAATGCATGACTTTATTTTTTTTTCTTTTTTTGTTTGATTTGAAGCACTATAGAGAAATCATTCATTACCGGCGGAATTTTCTGGCGGTTAATTTTCCGGAGGCTTTCCGTCTCCTTTCAGACGGAAAATAATGAGACAACTTTTCCGATAAAATTTTCCGGCGATTTATTTTTAGTATATTTAATTTATTTAATAACTTGATTTTGTGTTTAAATATTGTTTAAATATAAAAAATTAACACTTAAAATGTATTTACCTCTTCATCAATTTGTTGGGTGTTTGAAACACTCCCCAATTCACACGGGTTCGAAACCCTTGGCAGGCGTGGGAGCGGGCGTTCAGCTGGGTTGGCGCGGGCGGGTTGTTGGGCAGCGTCTGTCGAGGTCAAATGAGCTGTTGTGGGTGGGAAAGCACGAGAATTTTTTTAAATTATTATTTTTTTTATTTTCCGCTGGCTTAATTCTGTCGGAAATCCATCGAAATTATTTTCCGGAGAAAATCGCCGGAATTTATTTTCCTACGCATGTTTTACCGGGGGAATTTTTTCCGCCGAAAAACTGCCGGAAAATGATCAATTTCCGCCTGAAAATTCCGTCGGTAATAGATAATTTTCCTGGAGTGAAGTGATTGCAATATAAAGTGTAAAAAGGTTGTGCCTGGGGTGGTGGAGCGGTAGTGGTCGGCTGTTGAGAATGAAGATGATGGCTGCAGCAACGTCTGATGATGATGGTTGCGGGCGACAGAGAGCGGCCGGCAGGTGGCGGTGGAAGCATTTGAGCAGTGTAAAGTGTTCTCCCTCAACTTAATCTAGAACGCTTTACCTAAAAAATGAACTAAAATGGAATAAACTGCATTTAGTTTACTTTACCTAAGATTTGCTTTTCAACCAACCAAGCATAAAAAAGTGAAAAAGAAATGCATTTACTTTACTTTGCATTCATTTTTCTTCCAACCAAACAACAATCCATTCAAGCTTCTCATCAATTATAGATAATGAGGTCAAATATGTTCGTGGTTTTTTGGATGATGTAGTGTAAAATAAATGCAGTGTAAAAAGAATGCAGTGTAAAAGAATATTTTGGAGTTATTTGGATAAGTGTAAAAGAAATGTATGACACTACAGGAAAACAGCTTAATTACGACGGAATTTTGGGTTCGAACCCCGCAGGAGACATTTCGCGCGGGCTGGCTACATCGAGCTGCTGGGCTTGGCGATCCACGCGTGGGTTGGGTCTACCGATCCGCGGTTGGGCGAATTTCTGGCGGCTGAGCTGAATGTTGGAGTAGCGGGTGGGCTTAGCTAGGCGGGTCCGATCAGGTTGAAATTTTTTGTTTTTTTTTCTTTACTTTACGGCGCAAAAAAAAATCAACCGGAAATATTTTTTCAGCGAAAAATTCGTCGGAAACATTTCCGGCGAATTATTCTCCGCCGGAAGGCCTTTTCCGACGCGTGTTTTACAAGAGAAATAATTTTCGTCGGAACTTCCCCGGAAATGTTAATTTCCGACGGATTTGGGGGATTTTTTCGACATAAATGGCCGTCGGAAAATGACGTTTTTCCTGTAGTGTGACTTTGCTTTTTATTTATTTGATTTGAAGTAAAGTGAATGCAATATAAAGTGTAAAAAGGTTATGCCCGGGGTGGTAGGGCGGCAGTGCTCGATTGTGGAGGATGACGATGATGGTCGCTGTGACGTCTGATGATAATGGCGGCAGAGAGCGACCAGTGGGTGGCGGCGGAAGCATTTGAGCAGTGTAAAGTTTTCTCACTCAACTTGGTCTAGAATGCTTTACCTAAAAAATGAACTAAAATGGAATAAACTATTTTTACTTTACTGTACCTTAGATTTGCTTTTCAACCAACCAAACACCAAAAAGTTAAAAAGAAATGCATTTACTTTACTTTGCATTCATTTTTCTTCCATCCAAACAACAATCAATTATAGATAATGAGGTCAAAGATGATTGTGGTTTTTGGATGATGCTCCCGAGTGCGAACCTAATGTTTCACTAACAAGGAAGATGTGGTGATTGATTTTAAGTGATGATAAAGAGGTTCTTTAGTATACTCCTTATGAGGAAGTAGTTGGAGGGGAAGTAGTTGGAGAGTGGGGTTTGTTGAACTTATTCAATTACCATCATAATTCTACTTTTACCCTGCCCGTTGTTACTATCACATTAGCAATCGTGGCTTATAGTACGTTAGATCCTATTTCAGATGCTACCTCGCTAGTGAATGTAGTAAATATCTTGATTGCTAGTGCCCATGGAGATTATCTAAGATTGATAAGGAAGAGATGTGAACAGCTTATTCTTTGACTTCCTATCCTTATAGATATTTTAAAGCAACCAATTAGAATGAGGAAAGGGAAACTGGCCGGTATTTACTTGGAATGAAAAGATGGTGAGTGGTTGATATAAGGTTTATAGAATATTATTGGAGAAAGCAATAACTTGAATGGTATTTCCTTAGAGTTGTACGTGATGGAAGGTTTGCTTATGAACCTATTCAACTACCATCATAGTTGAATCGTTGCCCTGCCAGTGGTTACTATGACATCAACAATGGTGGATTTTACTACTTTAGATTCTATTTTAGAGGCTATCTCACTAATGGATGTAGCAAATATCCTGATGGTTAGTGCACTATGGAGATTATTCGAGATATATAATGAAGAGATGTAGACATCTTATTATTTGACTTCACATATCCTTGTAGAGATTATAAAGCAAGCTATTTGAATGAGGAAGGGAAGTTGATAATTACCTGGAATGAAAAGAGGGTGAGTGGTTGATCTAGGGTATGGAGAAAGCAACAACTTGATTGGCATTTTGGGATGAAAGGGATATTTGGGTGGTAGAAAAATGGGAACTCTGATTTTTGGATAGATTTGGAATTGAAGATTGTAGGCTGTCAAAAGATGGGTCTTTCTTTGAGAAAATTAATGAGGAACTCTAGATCAAAGACTTTAGATATTAGGGAATTAATGGTGGTATTTTAATAGATTTTGGATCAGTGGTTGAGAAGTGATGATGATTTTAATTTGATTTCTCATAGTAGAAAGTTATTTCTCTTTATTATGATTTCATAAATGGTTTCTTAGGCTTGTTATGGAGTTGAGGCATAAATTAGATGATTATGAGGAATATATGAGATTATTTGGGGGATTTTAGATGATGTTGGATAGGTTTTAGGGTTGAGAAATGAGCTCACCATATTATTGTGGCATTGAGGAGCTTCCTTTTAAATGTCAATTTTCTTAGTGAGTTTCATCCAAAAGAGACTTCAAATATCATTAAAGTTCCTTGAGCCACGATTTGAGGCAAGTTCCGTGAGTTAAGCTCCAAGGGTGAGTTCTCTGAGTTGATATCCATGGGAAAGTTCCCTAAGTTTAAAGAACTCCCTAGAGTGTTCCTTGTCATTTTTGTGGATATCAATTTATGTTTGTTTCTTACAGTGCTTGATTTTTTATTCTTGACATTAGTTAATGGTCACCCCACATAAAAAAATGTTGGAATCAAATTTTTTGTGGGTGATGCTTGAGCTATTCTCACAAAACTCATGAGATTTTTTCGTAGATTAAAGGGAAGGGAAGAGAAGAGAAGAGGGTTGAGAGAGACAGAAAGAGAGAGAGAGAGAGAGAGAGAGAGAGAGAGAAAAATGGCCCAATGAAGCTCGAGAATTATAGAGAGAGACTTTGGATTTATTACCATCCTAAACTATTGAAGATCACTACACATGGGGGAAAACCTTAAAATAGCTTTCTAATCTTGAGGATTAATAGGATTATAGTAAAGGCTACTCTCAAAAAATAATAAAGTTATATATAACTTAATTTTTACATACATTTGGCTAAGACACTATAAATTATTTGTGGACAACAACAACTTTTGAAGCTTTTTGATATCTTTGGGTGCCCTTAACGAGTCTCCATAGGTGAATTTAATGAGTACCTTTATTGCCTTCTACAAGTGCTTAGGGAAAGTACATCACTGACAGGGTAAGAGTCATCCCCATCTATCAATTTATGTGAATGAACTTCTCCTGTTGATTGGATGCAGGGCTTCTCATACTGTGGTGAGTGCTACCAGGATGAGTGCCCCTCTTAATCGACTGCTCTTATGGTGAGTTTGCCTAAGTTGAATGTCTTTTGAGGAGAGTTCACGTGAGGCAGTTGACTTTTCGAGGA